AAAAAAAGATGTTGAAAATGTAACCTTTCAAGTATAATTTAGCAACAGATAAGGCTCGCAAACGCTTTTTTGATCGACTGTACAAATCTTATTGTATATAAATCTTAGATTTTTTCAAAATCGAGACTATAATAGTTTAAAAAAATTACGATTTTAATGGTCACAAAAAGGTAATAGATCATTCTGGAGAGATATTTGCACATACATATACTTGCATATAAATTCAATCTCAAAAAGTAAACATAATCTCATTTTGGTACAATAATATAAATTCAGAGCTATTATAACCTAGTTGGTTGATGATTTTTGTTTATTTATTAATATGATATAATCATGAAATCGATTAAATAGATTTAAACATTTCGATCATAAATGTGGCTTTTTTCAATGAATAAATTAATGAGTAACTATATTTGCATGTCAATAATACAATATAAAATTCGTAAAAAAAAAGCAGCGCACAATTAGTCAATGAATTGAAAAACATGAAATTACACAATGCGATATTCATTGGATAGAGTTCATTGGATATGGTATCTCTTTACACCAATGTACCAACAGACCTATCATCAGTATTGAGAAAAGATGGCCAAGTATATTAAGAAACCCAAATATTTTATTAAATGAATTCAAAATTAGAGTAAATATAATACTTCAATCCACTTATTTCATGAACAATAACACTATAAACAAATTTTCGGAGTTTTAATGGGCTCGTCTCTCTTCTCCATAATTGTTGACATTGTAACGCAGGATGTAAAGACATTGGCGATCAGCAGATTTTTTTATCATTTAACGTATCATTTTTTTATAAATATATTGACGACATCTTGTTGGCAATTTCCAACGATTGTAATAATGAAACGATAGAAATATTTAATTCTGTACATAAGCGACTAAAATTTATGATGGAAATTGAAATTAACAGTCACGTACATAGATGTCAATTTGATTAGAGAAAGCAACAATATCATATTTGATTTATATATAAAAAAGTCACTTCATCTGACTGAACCTAAACTACAATTCCCATCACCCAATTTCTCATAAAAAAGAAATTATCATGGGAATGTTAGATCAGATCAAATCCATACCTCATCCTCTTTTTACTTAAAAACTTACTTCATGAAATGATAAACATTCTTTATTACAAAATAGTTACCTTATATATTTTATTTTTAAAATTATAAACGAAAGATACAAATATTATTTTAATAAAAAATCAATAAATAAACGAATAAATGATACAGAGAAATCTATAAAAAAAAATCTTCACTATCCCATACATTAAAGAAGTCACAACAAATTATCTATCATAGCTAACAAAATTAGTATGCAAATCACATTCACAATACCTTATAAACTAAACTGATTTATTAAAACAGGCAAAGACATGGTTGACAAAGTGAATAAATGTGAAATAGTTTGCGGAATTGAATGCCAAGATTGTGAAGCCACATACGTGGGACAAATTAAAAGACAACTAGGCACGAAAATAAAACAACATCAAAACGACATTAACAAAAAAAGTGGTTCTCCCTCAGGGTGTGTTCCGATATACACTGCCAGTACTGGCAATACTGAAAAATTGTTCCGCTATTACTACGCTGCGATTAGTTCAATGATGTCATGGTAGCCATATTATCACTGCGACTACTGCGGCTTTCGAGGTGAAGCAGTTACAGTGCAATGGCATCACTTAAAAAAGCATAACGCGTCGAAATATTCGATCCAGGAAATAAAAATATATATACATTATATTTAACTGCAGAAGATGTACATATATTCATTTTATAGAAAATGACTCTTAAATTCCACATCTGAATATTCATTAACTGTGTCCATACAGTTTTTAACACGAGGTCAAACTACTTGAATTGATAATCCCAATATAATTAGTTCATTTTGGAAGAACTATCGCTGCTGTTCAAAATTTATTGATAATTTTAATTTAGTACGTTTATCCATGTCTGTTTACATTACTGCTAATCTACTACAAAGCCGTTCCGAAATACGACGTTACAGTAATGCTGGCAGTATCACAGTAATTTTGGAACGGCTGCAGCAGTGCACTATTGTGACGTTATACTGGTTGAAGAACCAGTAAAAAGGGAACATACTCAATAATTTCTGAACATAGAATCTTCCAAAATTATACATTTGACTGGGAAAACATAAAAATTCTAGACAACGAGCTCTCTTATGTAAAAAGATCTATTTATGAAATGGTATACATTAAAAAACAAATTGAAAGTCTAAATAAATGGATACAGAACGATTGCCGAACGTTTACCTCCCCATCATGGATCTTTTGTTCCGCACATAATTTTATGCTCACTACCAAAAACAGACATACAGAGTTACACTATAAAACATCATTTATTAATGTGCTGTCAAAAAGGAAGGTTACAAATATTTTAAGACCAACGAAAAATTCTGTGAACATTGGAATCACAAATATTCTTATCATAATTATAATTTAGTCTAGTAAAAGTCTAACACTCATAATTATATCATATACAGGGTCTTCCAATATTATCTGTCTTTTCATTTAACGGTATAGAACAGTATCTTATAAAATCCGCCACATAGATTATTATTGCCAGGTAATTCGTATAAATGTAAACAATCGTGCTGAGTTTCATGACAATCGGTTCAGTTAATTATAAATATTCAGAAAATTATTGAAATCTGCAAAACATTGTTTTCGAAAATTTGGGACAAACAGGATTGACTTCTCAATTCAGCAGACCTTAATCCAATGGATTATTCTGTGTGATCTATTATGGAGTTTTTTTTGTGCCAGAGTTTTTTTTGTGCAATTAATCATAAGTCTGTTAATTAAGTTAAAAAATCATTAAGTAAGGTATGGAACAACATTACCATTGAGAAACTTATTGCCATTATTGATAATTTCCCTAAGCGGTTAATCAATTCGAACGTGAGTACAAATATTTTCTATAAATTTTGTTTCTATGTAACAATTATTAATAAAGTTATAATTATTTACAAAAAAAAACGGAATATTGGAACATCCTTAGAAAACTTTGGAAACTGCGATTTCTCTATTCATCTGAGTCTACAAATTTTATAACTCGACACACCATGAAATAGGATGCCAAACTGAAAAGACACATCACAATACTGACAATATAATAGATAAAAGACTTAGGAGCGTAAGATTATACTGTTAACATGCGAATTTTATATTATTGATTGACATATGAATATAGTTATTCATTAATTTATTCATTGAAAAGATCATATTTATGATCGAAACATTTAAATCTGTTTAATCGATTTCATGATTATATCATATTAATAAATAAACAGCGACCAACTAAGCTATAACAGCTCTGAATTTATATTGTATCGAATTTTATTCCTCATAGCCAATAACATATTGTAATTATAATAATCTCATCTTGTTTTCGTTCGCTGAAGATGTAGCTCTTGATTTATTATCGTATATTCATACTACTTCATTAAGATATGTAGTTTTAATATTTTATCCAAATTATGCAGATATTTGTAATTTTGGGTAAGTGAGGCATCCCAAATTTTTTTTCGGTTACTTTATTAAAAAATTATCCTAAAATAAATAAATTTTTTTGGGATGGCATCATTTGTAAGATTTAACAAGTTTTTAAACATTTTTATAATAAAACGCAATAAAAATATCGTTATAACGTAGTGATTAAATAAACACGTGCGGACATATTTAATCTCAATTAAGCATAACGTTGGTTTTTTTCTATGAAATTTAATGCTATTTACTATCTACTAAAAACTATGAGAAAAACAATTCTTATGATACATGTATTAAACTTTGAATTTTTTAAAGCTACATACGTTAGTTAACCTTACACATTTAAATAGTCAATGCCATCAATAAAATGTATAGCGTTGTTTCTAATAAATTAATTGACACTTGAAAAAGATAAAACAAATATTAAATAACAAATATTAATCTTATGATATCCCTACTGAAAAAAATTACGTCACATAGTTGCATGATGAAATCATGTAATTAAAACATGCGAATCATGTAACGAATTATTCCAAATCAGTAAAATTATTTTAAATACCGTAATTTGAAAAATTACATGATATCAGAAATAATTTTATCGATTATGTGATTTTATAGTTGTCAAATTTAAAAAAATTAAATGATATTGTGACATGATCTTTTCAGTAGGGATGTATTATTTACAGCAAAATATTATAATTATTTAAATATAAAAAGTGATCCAGAATTGATCGGCATCTAATGCTTTTACCTTCACATGTATGTGTATATACGACGGTAAACTCCGAAAGTTAGGGATATGGTAAAGAATAAAAAGAAATACTATGCAAGTCAAACTAGCGAGAACAAATGATTGTGAACGAATATTTCACAATATAGAACAGAAACGAACGGGCTGCTTTCGGAAATTAATATTATCCTCATCATCTTATTCTTGTTTAACGTTAGGTGAACAACAAGGATAAAACGATATACAGATGCACTCGGATAACGTTTCTGAACGCAGCCTTATTTGATATACCAATAAGAAATGGAATGTTTGTCAATGCTCGTACAGACTATTGAAGCAAGTTCATTCTTTCATAAACGAATAAATCATTGAAATGCAAATTCTTGTGCGCGAGATCTATCTTTGAGGCATTTTTATTTTTAGATTTTTATTAGAATTTGTAGGATTTGTAGGATTTCAGTGAATAATCATGAATAAATGTTTTTCATGATATCTGAAAAGTCCTAAACTTTCTGAATATAAATAATAAGAATCCGACTATACGAAAGTTTTAACTCTTTGTTCCCCATTTTACAATGCGTCTCAAATTTTGTCCCAAATTAAAGACATGATTTTAAATTATCCTTCTTTTAGTATAAAAATAATAAATGTGAAATATAATTTTCTACTTCTATTTGACTGATTCATTATGTTTAATAAGATTGTTAAATTCGCATAATTAACGAATAAAATGTGGCAAAAATGCAGGCCTGCACTTGCGGAGCATCGAGGAGCCGAGGATGACGGCGGAAACGGCGGGTCCTTGCGTACAAGGAATACAGGGCGTCCAGAGCGGCGTAGCGAGTCAAAATATGCTGCAACAGGTGCAGGATGGAAACAGTGGTGGCGGCGGCGGCGGTTATTATTCCTCGACTTGGACAGCGTACGATCCAGAATACGCCCGTATGGAGGCTTGGCTTGACGAGCATCCTGACTTCGTTAACGATTACTTTCTCAGGTAATCGATCCTTTCGAATTTGTAATGAAGCGAATAGATTCATGTTAGGTTCATTGTTTTGAAAATTAATTGATGGCTTGTTTACTATCGTTTTTGAAAAATAATAACTACAACCTCTAACAAAATTGCCTCTGTTGTGCTGATTTATGTATTTTTCCTCTTTTTTATGTTTTTTTGTTTATATATGTTTTTTAATACATTTATATATGTTTATATATATTTTTTATCATAATATTTTCTGAAATCTGCACATTCTGAATTCTGAACATCGGAAAATATAATAAAAGTAGCACGCACACATGTACGCAAGATATCACATTTGAAGCTTCGGACGCTATTATTTCCCAAACAATTTGTTATTCCAAAAAGTATTTCAAGTAGAACTTAATTTAAGAGCGAAATATCTTTTGATGGTCACAAATCCTTGCTAAAAGTGAACGTGCTCAAGATTTCAAAATGACCTTTATTCTTCTAAATGGAATCATAGAGAATAATTTGGGAGATAATTACGTCCAAAGCTTCAAATGAGACTATATAGAATATGTGTATAGTATATGCCTATCATACACAGGGTGTTTTCTCTAACTTAATCATCTAAAATGTTTCCGTTGTATTTAATGATACGAGAAAATACCAACAGAGAAAGTTGTTCGATTCGAAGGGACAAATATTATAATGAGCAAAAAATTTTTCTCAAGGTCATTTTTTTAGACTTTAAAGTCACTTCTACTTTTTTAAATGAAATTGATTTTTTTACACAATATGTGTGCGAGAGCGCACCGCGCGGAAAAATTCGAGTGAGAGTTCGGCGCAAGGCTGGTAAGATGCAC